TGTTAATAAAACATGAAATGTTCAGGCACTTTATCTAACCTGTGTCATTCTGTGTGTGTAGGAGCTACAGTCTGAAGAAGGGACAGCTGGAGAGGGACTACGCACAGGTAAGACTAACTGGACTCTTGCTGAATGTGTGTTGGATGCATTGTGTATGCAGTTCTGATTGGGTGTTGCCACTGAGCGAGGACACCTTTCTAATTACTGCATCAACATACTAATGTTGGTACAGTTTGCATTGGAGCTCCACTTCTGTATTTTAAGCCAACTGCTGTTCAAGTGTACACACGTGTTTTCATTTTATCAAATATTTTACAAAAATAACCCTGTTAGCCCAGCAGTTACTGTTTTGTGATGTAGAACATATTTGTAGTCTGTTTTCAGGAAGACTGCAGGAGAGCCCCCTACGACTATGTTTTAAAGGCCAGTGACTTGTGTTGAGCTGATTCAGTTGACTTCTTTCATCTTCTTTGTGTTTTGAGATTTAAACCATAACATTTAAATGAGTTTCTCATGATGTTGTGGCTTAGTTGATTATAGTTCTTGTCTTTTAAACAGGAAATCCTGGGTTCAATTTCCAGAAGTGCTTTTCTTAAATCAATGTTTTCCAAATAAATGATGAAGAGAAGAATATTCCAGTGTTGTATTACCTACACAACGTCTTTGTGATTCTAATCTCGATTTATTCCACATCTTCATGTAGAATCTGTTCTCAGGGGTTTGGATTGGCAGCATGGAAAGTGTTCTGGTTTCTCTTTGTTGTAGGTTTCTAGTCCGAGCTGTATTGACCAATTATCAGCAGGCTCTGGTGAATACAGGAAAAAAATATCGTTGTGGACAGCAAAAAAAAACATGCAGCAAACGTTATCACCGCTGTTAACTGACTAGCTCCTGTTGACGATATTCTGACAATGATTTTTGTCTTAATAGACCCATATCCGCATAAAAGTGAAGCTAACAATCCGTTTTTAGATTTCCTGACTACCCAGAATGCACCAGACATGATCGATCTGACCTCCATTCAACAAGAAGCTTTTTAAAAGTTTATTCTCCTCTTGAGGACAGATCTGACAAATCTTGACATTTCTATTTTGTACAAATCTGCTGTTATTTTGGCAAACTTAATTCTCGTTATTTGCAAGTATATCACAAGAAAATCGATTTCTTTTTTAGGCTCATACCATTGACATGAGCCAAAAATAAAGCTGGTGTATAACCTTTACTGTTGAACTTGACAATTCTACAAGGACAGGATTGTTTTCCCTCTGGTAGATGAGTCTGGTCTCCTTCTCATATAGAAGATTTTATTCAGTCTGGTTCAGGTGGGCCAGTGAAAATTTGATTTCTAATATAGAGGTGGTTTAATTGCCATTGATACAACTTTGGATTCTTCAGACAAGAAACATTATGAGGTGTTCACAATATAAACAAACGCTTATGGTAAATGATGTTGTGAAAGTAGGTGCCATATCAATGGAATGTTGGAACTAGCTACGTGGCCTAGCACTTACTGCTACATCATTGCTCTGATTGGTTGAACTGTACAGAGGAAATGTTTATTTATATAAATATTTACCTTTGGAACTTTATTTTGACGTTACGAGAGCAGTTTTGATGCTGTTATCATGGTGCTGTGGCTTAGTTGGTGAAAGCGCCTCTCTTGCAAACGAGAGATTCCGTTTCAAATCCCAGCAGTGAATTTAATATAAAAGCACTGATGTACCTGAAGAGGTGTTGAGGGAACTATCAATATAATAAAACTGTCTTATATCCTAAAGCCCAAACATGTGGCACAGAGGTTAACTATACTTTCTGTGTGATATTTCTGGCCATTAAGCCAATTTGTTACATTTTGAACCCAAATATAACTGTTAAAATACATTCATATTTAAGATCGTTATGTCTGAGTCAAATGGGCCAAAAGTCAAGAAGTGTAATGTAGAATGTTTGAGTGAAAGACTTCAGTAATTGTTCACTCAAACTTAAACGGCCACCACTTGTCTTTGTACAGCGAGGTCTGTTGCTCATGAGCCCTCTTGCTATAATTTGGTGAAGCTGAACTGATTATTTAAGAAGCCCTCGTAACATCCTCAAGTTAGGAGTACCTTCTCTGCAGACAGCATCCTCCAAAAGCCTTTAAGATGAGATCAACTTTGATCATGAGGAAACCCTATTTCATGTCAATGTGGGATTTGTCACTGGATAAATACTTCAGACAGACTCATCAGTATCAGATGGATACATTTTAACAGGGTACTGAAATTTCTTGAAGTCACTGTGACACAAAATTTGAATCTAATTCACTTTGATAGAAATTCCTTTGATAGATAAGATAGTTCTGAATGAGGAAAATGATCACCTTGATGTTTAGAAATGAATGGTAAAAAAGATCTTAAAGGGAACTACACATTGAATGTGCTTTGGGGTCTTTAGGGTGAGACTTGATTTATTTTTCATGTTTCCTCAAATGACTAAAAACTCTCACATCTGCTGCAGACCGCGTGTGGTTTCACTTTCCTTGTTTTGCTTGGTTTTTCACAGATGTTTTTGTGTTTTTTTTAATCACTTTTTCGGGTACTCTCCCTTCCTGTTTTCAGATTTATGAAATGCCGCGTAGTATTCATAACTCTTGTTTGGCTCAGACAGTAGAGGGATTTGCATGCAAATGAGCCCAATCTCCTCTCAGAAATAGACTATACGTGTAGCCATTTCTCAGCCTCCACTGCTTTGTATTTTCTCCACTAGTAATTCTACCCCGCAACCTTAAATGATCTGAGTAGTTTGAGTAGGCTTCTATAAAATGCAAGATGTATGGCTAATAACTCCAACGTATGAATCAGGAAGTTTGGTCACTCTATTGGTTTCATGCAGCTGCACATATGCTCTTTTTTCTCTTCCTTTAAAGGGTTTTAAGCAGGGGCCCAGCACTATGGGATTTTTGGGGCCGATACCGATAACGATTTTGGGGAGAAAAAAAAATCTGATGCGATATATCGGCCAATATCTTTCTTAGATCAATGTTCGATCTGTAGATCCCCCAAATGCAGTTATCAAAGACTTATGGAAAACATAATGAGTATAAGGAAGACGGGATGGTCACTCAACTCGTAAGTAACTGCGCATATGTGCATCACCGCCTCACAATCTGGACAGTGATTATGCTTTTTGTAATCCATAGAGCGCACTCGACTCATGACAGTCAGATAGAGAACTGCTAGTGTAAAACAATGAACTCAAATAAAATGCTATTTGACTGGTGAATATATCTTGTAATATCGGCACACGTGTGCGACAAAATTAGCCGATACCTATACTCACTGGATATGCTAATATCGGCCGATATTATCGGCTGGCTGATTCATCAGTCGAGCTCTAGTTTAAAGCCAGTTGCACTTATGTTTACGCCTTAAACTATGATGTAGAAAATATCACTGAGACATGTGGTAGATGTCAAAATACACTGCATTGATTTTTAATTTTTAATGAAGAGTTCTTGAAATGTTTCAACTGATGAATGCTCATTAATTTGCTCATATTGCAGAAAAAGGCAGAAGTTGACCTTTGCAGCGTCTTTGATTAATAACATGCAATTCCATCTTATGATCAGCTGCGTGATCTTTATTCAGACCTAAGGGAGGACAATTTGCAAATGTTTATTTTCTTCACATTGTGTGTGCAAGAATGGCTTCCTCCACTTTACCATGAAATGTGATTTTCGCCCATTAGACATCCACTTTGCAGTGTTCTGCAGAGTTGTCAGGACATACAGAACCAAAATATATTTCCCAGAAGAAGGCTGTGTCAGCATACCTCTCTTACTAAGCATTTAAGTTGAAGGGTGTCTGAGCAGAAAGCAAACAGTATTTGAAGCCAACAGTGTGGAAGACTGCACCAGGAAGTGTCTCCTGTTGAATATCTGTTATATGTTCATGCTGCTCAGCTTCACATGCACACACACGCGTCCATACCAACACACTCGGAGAAAATGGTTAAATCACACACTTTATCTTAATGACAAACATACATTATACATTACCCATCAGGCTCTTAGCTTCATATTAGCTTCACTCTATACAGCTGTCCACATCTTTTACCCCACGTGTAAGTCCTTATAACCTCAACATATACACACACACAAAAGAGGAGATGAAGAGAGTGAGGAAGATGAGAGAGAGGGGGAAAGAGATTTGTGTGTGTGTGTGTGTGTGTGTGTGTGTGTGTGTGTGTGTGTGTGTGTGTGTGTCTTCATGTCTTCATTTACATGTAGTTTGAATGATTACGGGTGAGCGTCCTTTGGTCAACCCCTCTGGTTTCAGACACTCATTATCTCCCCCTCTCCCTCACACTGCCTCACTTCTCTCTGTCTCTCACTATTCTCCCTCTGCACTGTCTTGTTCACCTTAGAAATAGAGGTTGCCTAGCAACAACCCCCCCCCCCCTCCCACTCAGTAGGACAATGGATTCCCTCCTAATTGTAGGTGTGTGCATCATGCAGTATGTTTATGTGCAGGAATGTGTGAGATTACAGTTGCTTCTTAATAGAGATGCATGATGATAAAACTTGATTTTGTTGCAGCATCTGATGAAAATATGATTCCATGCTGCAACAATAACATTTTTGCATGGCACTTCTGCCCTTGCTTCTTTCTCTCTTTCCACTAGACACTCAGGTTGAACACTGTTGGATTCTCATTGGACCCTCATGCTGTTACAGATAGAAATCCAGCCAGTCAGGTGGTCCAAACAGAGAGACACTTAGAAAAAGGAAGCGGAAGAGAGGAAGACAGAGGGCGGTTACAAGCTGTAAGAGACAAAACCAGTCAAAAACAAATCAAGAGAGAAAGTCATACACATTTATCCAAACAGAAAAAGCAGAGGGGTGGGGAAGACGGGTTGATGGAGCGAAAAAGAAAGTGAAGTAGCTGTTTTTTTTAACCTTTTCTCTTTTTAACCTATCAGACCAGACTGTGTGTGTGTGTGTGTGTGTGTGTGTGTGTGTGCGTGCGTGCGTGCGTGCGTGTGTGTTAAGGTATGTGTGTGTTTGCTTCTTGTCCTCTATTCCTCTCCCACGATCAACATAACTGGAATAGTTTGAGGCTGGGGTCAC